TGTATTTGTTTCATTTACTTGTTATACTATTAATCTTATTAATTAATAATGATAATAATTATATAATTATAATAATAATAATAATTAATAATATTAATAATTAATAATAATTAATAATAATAATAATAATAATAATAATAATAATAATAATAATTATAATAATAGTAACGTTTTGTTTTTGTCATTAGATAGAAAACTACTCGCACACCTGTGTTTCGTTTTTCTTTATGTTTGTTTTCTTTTATATCCTAAAAATTATAACTCCATCCGCGTAGTTTTTTTTTTATATATTTAATGCAGTCTATATATATATAGAGATATAAAATTATAAACGATTATTATTATTATTTCATATCGTTGAGCCGAAAAAAGAAAGAAAAAAAATAACTTCTTTTGTGTTTAATATTCATTTTCATTTTATTTATAATCGTATCTGATTATCAGAGAAAAAAAAAAATTAGGATTATCATTATAATCGTTCATTTAGAAATATTGTACATATTTAAAATGTATTTATACCGCTATATAGTTTTCAATCTCAGGCAATCGGTAAGAAAATTATTATTATTATTTAAATATCTCTTGCTTTTGTCATTAGCTATTTTCCGTTCTTTGTTGTATCTTATTCATTGTTGCTGTTGCTGTTGCTGTTGCTAATGTTTTTCTAGTTTTTTCTTTATTATTATTACTCTTATTTATTTTTGTTTCTTCTTCCTCGAGAGAGAGTATAAATTCTTTGGAAATAAAAACTAAAGTGAAGTAATCGAATCCAAATACAGTGTGGCAATGTAACGCATGACTTATAATAATCATTATTATTTTGTCTTAAATGTTCGTTTTTATTCTGTAGAATTTAAATATTGAAATTTTTGACTTTGAAAAAATAATGTAATATCAAGAAGAGAGATAAGAGATTTATTATTTGTATATTTTTTTTTTTTTTCTTTTTTTTAAATATTTATTTTTCTTTTCTTTATACTTAATTACAAAACAGAAAAAGTTTCAACTCATTATTAAAAAAGAGATATAGTAAGACAGCAATAAAAAGGAATTATTGATAGTAATAGTAATAGTAGTAGTAGTAGTAGTAGTAGTAATAATAATAATAATGATAAATAAAGAATAGTTTGACTAAGAGTAAATATAATTATAGTCCATAACACAATTATAATATACAGCTTCAGAGACTCTAATATCGTACAAATTAATTATTACTCTACGAATAAGATTTTTCGTTTTCTTCTTCTTCTTCTTCTTCTGTTTTTTTTAATTCATTTATATTTATTTATTTATTCATTTATTTATTAAGACGTTAAGTGTCAAGCATTGATTTATTTTTAGATTTCTTCAATATGACGATAACTGGAGAAAC